TGTGAATTATTTATTTTAGTATGTATTTATTAAGGATGTAATTGTGCATAAATTTCTGCTGTCGTAGTGGGTATTACGAATGTAAAAATATAAATGTAAACATATATTTATAAATTGTATATTAAGAAACTTGTATTTAGTTTTATTCTTTATTATTTTTAATCTTTACGCGTCAAAGGTTTCTGAACATTTCGGCATACCTTAGAAAAAATGAATGATTGTGTGTGTGCGTGTGTGTGTATGTGTGTGTGTGTGTGTGCGGATACACATTTTTATCGACGTTTTCGAGAACACGATTTTAACCAATTTGAATCCTTCAAAAAACATTCAAGTCCTATTGATAGGGAGATGTGCTAATTAGTTTTTTTTGGCAAAGGCAGGTCCAGCCGTTTCGGAGATACCGAGCTAAATATGCAAAAAATAGCAGTTTTTGAGAGAACTAAGCATCTGATTTGAAAGATTCTAAAAATTTTCAATTCGTAATGATTGTGAGAAGTTGTGATTAGTTTTTGGCAAAGGCAGGTCCAGGCATTTCGAAAATACAGAGCTAAAAGTCAAAATATGGTAGTTTTTGAGGGAACTACGCATCCGATTTGAATGAGTCAAAAAACTTTCTGCTTATATTGACGAAACAATTATTTTTGGGAAAAAAATTATTTTAATTTTTTTTTTTCAAGAAATTTTTTTTTTTCTGTATATCGAAAATAATTCATACTTTAATTTTAATTCTGGCTAAAGTTCTAAAGCTTACTTATATACTTTAAATAAATAATTTTAACTTTGCAATTAATTTTATATAATTCTTATAAATATTATACAATGTTACAGTATTTATAATAATCGATTTGAAAACATTTAATATTCCTTGAACATTTCGTTACGGTACGCGAAATTCCAGCAATTTGCCTTAAGGCACGATGCCATACACTACTAGTTATTTTTAACTTCCCACAAGGTAAGTTATTGTAATAGTAAATAAAAAACTGAAAAAATGAAAATTTTTGCATATTTTACGTTTCAAAGATTTTCGAAAATTTTGGCATATCTTAAAAAAATGAATGTGTGTGTATGAGTATGTATGAATATATTTTTTCGTCCACTTTTTTGGGCTCACGGATCAACCGATTTGAATGATTCAAAAAAATAATAATTAAGAATTCGATTCCTATTAATAGAGGTAAACGTGCTTTGTTAAAGGCAGGCCCAGCCGTTACGAAGATATGAAGCAAAAAGTTCCAAAAATGGTAATTAACTTTTTGAGAGAACAGAGCATCCGATTTGAATGATTCAAAAAACATTCCATTTGTAAAAATGAGAAGACGTGGTGATTAGATTTTGGCAAAGATAGGCATAGCCGTTTCAGAAAACATAGATTCAATTTTTTTTTTATTTTCCAATTTTTTTTTAATATCAAAAATGGTTCGGATTAAAATTTTAATTCTAGCTAAAAGTCTAAAACTTTCTTAAGAATATACTTGAAATAAATAATTTTAACTTAGCAATTCAGTTTATATAATTCTTAGAAATATGAGATAAGGTCCTTCATTCTAACTCCGCTTGATCCATTTATTTACTTTTCATGTAAACATATATAAATATCTTCGTCCAATTTATAAGCTCTTATACTTTGACATTCAAATAAAAAATAATGAAAGTTACAGTATTTATAATAATCTAATTGAAAACATTTAATATTCCTCGAATATTTCGTTAAGGTTCGGAAAGTTCCAGCAATTTGCCTTAAGACACGATGCCATGCACCAATAGTTTATCTTTGAATTTACCATATTGTAAGTTATAGTAATCGCAAAAAGTGGAAAAAGGAGAACCTTTTGCATATCTTTACGTTTCAAACGTTTTTGAACATTTTGACATGCCTTATAATTTAAAAAAAAATGATGTATGCATATGTGCAGTATATATTTGTTTGGATATAGTTTTTCGTCCACGATTTCGACAGCGCGGATCAACCGATTTAAATGATTCATTAATTAATGAAGAGACGTGCTGATTAGTTTTTGGGCGAGGCAAGTCCAGAAATTTCGAAGATACGAAGCAAAGAGTGCCAAAAATGGTAATTGATTTTTTTGAGAAAACGGAGCATTCGATTTGTATGATTGATTTTTGGGAAGGAAGGTCTAGCGCTTTCGAAAATCCAACGAAAAAAGTGAAAAATTGTGCCATTTCGCGAACAAAAATGATCATTAGACATATGCACATAAAATTATCACATATTTTATAGATATTTTAATAATAACAACAAATTTTGTTCACTTTTGTATGGGTTTCGTACCAATGTTTATCCGTTAGACGGCGATGCGACGCTTACGCGCTTCGATATTTCGTCTCTATGCAACTAACGTATGGCGATTTTTTTGAAAAAAAGTTCAAAATTTTCAAAATAATTTAAAGTATAAAAAAATCAATTTTTTCAAAAATCGATTTTTTTTTCGAATTCTAAAAGTAAATTGATTCTTTTTTAAAAATTAAATTTTTTGGTACGGGAAGTTTCAGCAATTTGCCTTCAAGCACGATGCCATGCACCACTAATTCAAAATAATTACTGTATCAGTCAAATTGTTTTAGGATAATTGGCTTTATTATGTTTCTAAGGGAAAGTTGATATTTTTGCCAGAAAATATATTTTTCCTAAGATTTTATATCAAGTCATTCTGAATCGTTTGGTACCAAAATTGGAAAAAATACGTGTGAGTGAAAATTTATCATTATGACTAACAATTGCTAATAGATCCCAAGGTGCAATTTGTAACAAAACTAGTGGTGTATGGCATCGTGCCTTAAGGCAAATTGCTGGAACTTCCCGTAGCGTAACGAAATGTTCTAGAAATATTAAATAGATTTTCAAATAAATTATTATAAATACTGTTGCATTGTCTGAAATGTTAAAATTATTTATTTAAAGTATGTAAGTGAACTTTAGAACTTTAACCATAATTAAAATTAAAATCAGAATTATTTTTGATATACAAAAAACTAGTGGGTCGCATGGCATCGTGCCTTAAGGCAAATTGCTGGAACTTCCTGCACCAAAAATTAATTTTTTTTAAGAAGATTAACCATTTTGAAACAAAAATTACTCTGAATAAATTAGATTTTTGAGAAACTATACATTTTTGACACAAATTTACTTTTTTTGAAAAAAAAAGACTTTTTGAAGAAAAATTTATTTTGAAATATTTTGGAAATTCGGAACTTTTTTTCAAAGCAATCGTACTGCTTTAACTGTATAGAGACGAAATATCGAAGCGCGTAAGCGCCGCGTCGCCGTCTAACGGATAAACTTGCGATAAACGGATTGGTACAGAACCCATAGGAATGTTAACAAAATTTATACTTATTGTTAAAATCTCTATAAAATATCTAATAATTTGATGTGCATATGTCTAATGATCATTTTTGACCGCCAGATAGCTTTTTTTTTACATTTTTTACTAGATCTCCGAAACCGCTAGTCCTGCCTTCATGAAAATTTGATCAGTTCTTCATCTTGTTAATACAATGAAAATGTTTTTTGAATTTTTAAAATCGGACGCTCCGTTCTCTTAAAAACCGTGTTACCGTTTTTGGCACTTTTTGCCCCGTATCTACGGAACGGCTAGACCTGCCCCCGCCAACAACTAATCAGCAAATCGTCGACGAGAATTTGTATCCGCACGCACACACACACACATATATACATTTTTTCTAAGGTATGACAAAATGTTCAGAAGGTTTTGAAACGTAAAGATATATAAAAATTTTCATTTTCGATTTTTTTGCGATTACTATAATTGACCTACGGGAGTTAAAAATCTGAAAAAAAATGAAACAAAAAAAAAGCTTTTTCCAAAAGCAATTATTTTGTCGAAACATGCAGTTTTTTAAGTCATTCAAATCGGATTAGTTCTCTCAAAAACTGCGATTTTTAATATATTTAGCTCTGCATCTCCAAAACGGCTGTAGCTACCTTTGCCAAAAACTAGTCACCACTTCTCGCCATCATTACGAATTGAATGTTTTTTTGATCATCCAAATCGGACGTACCGTTCTCTCGAAACTGAATTTCTATTTCATGCACTCTTTGCTTCGTATCTCCGAAACGGCTAGACCTGTCTTTGGCAAAAACTAATCAGCACGTCTCCTTAACAAATGGAATCAAATGTTTTTTGAATCCTTCAAATCGGTTGATCCGTGCGCTCGAAAATGTGCACGAAAAGTTGTATCCATACATACATACATATACACACACATTCATTTTTTCTAAAGTATGCCAAAATGTTCAGAAACCTACAAAACGTGAAAATATGCAAAAATTTTCAATTTCGTTTTTTGGTCGATTACTATATAACTTACCCTACGGGAAGTTAAAAAAAAAAACATAAGGCAATCAAAAGTAATAAGTACAAATTTTGTTTACACTTCTATTTCGTCTCTAAAACAGGTAGACTAGTCCTAGGGTAAGTAGGTTTTGAGACAACTTTTTCGTGTCAATATATAAGTATTTTCAGACTTACAGCTGGGTATCTCGAATTCCGAGATTCTTACCTAATTTAAGCTTAAATGACTGGACTACACAGCGCGAAAATCTGAAATTTCAAAAAAAAAATGAAATACAAAGAAAAATGTTTTTGAAAAAAGTCCAAGTTTTCAAAAAAATTTATATTACGGTGCGGAAAGTTCCAGTAATTGGCCTTAAGGCACGATGCTATGCCCCACTAGTTTAAATAAAAAAAAAAAACATATTTTACATTTAAATGCTTTGACAACGCGCGTTAATAGCAAGTAAATGTTGGTACTACTGTTTGCAATGTTGACATATCTAATTTCATGGCAGTGTGTAAGAAGTAGAAACGTCAAAGTATATTATGGAATTATATATTGAATATAAACAAAACTATTATAAATATTTATTAACACATATTTATGCCACATGAAAACGGTTTAAATAAAAGCTTTCGGAACTTCTAAGAAGCCATTATTAGTTTGTTTACAGGAACCAACATAATGTCTCAAGAAACTACAATTAAAATTGAACCAATCGAATATATTCAAGTTAAACAAGAATATGATGATTGTCCTCAAGAGGAGCAAGAATTTAATGATTATGCAATATGTCCGGAAATATGTCTACAAGAATTTTTAAAAACTGAGATAAAAGAAGAGGAAGAACCAAAGCAAGACATGATCGATGAGCAAGATGCAGCAGGCACTGGTACAAACGAAACAAGTATAGGCCTAAGCCATTTCCTTATCCCTGACACAACCAATAACCCGAAACAACTCCATAAGTATGAATGTAAAGTCTGCAACAAAATATTTAAAACAACACAAAAATTAAGGCGCCATGAAATTGTTCACATTAAAGTACAACCTTATAGATGTGAAACATGTTACAAATCATTCAAAAGAGAAGACTCGTTAAAAGTGCATGAAAGGACCCACACTGGGGAACGCCCTTACGAATGCACAATGTGCAATGAAGCATTCACCACAAAACAAAAATTAAACCGACATGAAATGATCCACACCGGAGAGCGTCCATATAAATGTGAGATATGCGATAAAAGTTTCAAATCCAACTATTCATTCACTCGCCATGAAATTTTCCATGCTGGGTTAAGACCTTATAAATGCAACATCTGCGATAAAGCATTTACCCAATCAGGTCATTTGAGGATGCATTCGATTCTGCACACCAGAGAACCATCAGAAAAATATAGAATATGCAACAAACCAATCGAAACAAAACAAGAATCAGAGCCACAAGAAATTGTAGATACTGATAAACCCCATAAATGTGAGTTGTGCAATAAAACCTTCAAAAGAAAAGACACCTTGAAAAAACACAAAAGAACCCATACCAATGAACGTCCGTTCCAATGCGAAATATGCAATAAAGCATTCAATGCAAAAACAACTTTAAAAACCCACGAAAAGACCCATACCGGTGAACGTAGTCACGAGTGTGAAATATGCAATAAAAGATTTTTAGGTTCAAAAGATTTAAAAAGGCATTTAGCAGTGCACAGTGACGAATACCCCCATCAGTGTGAGACTTGTTATAAAGCATTCAAATTAAAAGAATCATTAAAACAACATCAATTGATACATACTAAAGACTCGCCTCATCAATGTGAAATATGCAATAAAACATTCACAAGAAAACGGTCATTGAACCTACATGTAATAATCCATACCGGTGAACGGAGTCATGAGTGTGAAATATGCAATAAAAAATTCTCGACATCGAGTATTTTAAAAAGGCATATGGCAATACATGGGTAAATAATTAGAAATAAATATTGATGTTTTAGTTGCTTTGGGATCTTATTGATTTATTATTATGGAAATAATTAAGTTATTAATAAAATCTATTATATATACTTCATAATTTTGTCATTATTTATTCACTTATGCAAAAAGAATTTAATTTTTCATACGCTTATAAGATATGTATCAGTATGTGTATATGTAATATTTAATATATATATATATATATATATATATATATATATACCAGCAAACCCGACGAACTCCGTTTCGCCACAATTTTTTGTTTGTTTTATATTTGAAAAGGAAAAGTGTGATTTTATTATACAACAGTAATGAAATTCTTTCAATTACAAAAATGAAGTGTTTTTTAGTTGAACTTCTCAAAGTAAATAAAAGTGAATCCGCAAATTATCCGTTTCATTGAATTGCTCTTTGGTAAACCACATTTTTTATTTTTTGGTCTGACGTTAACACAAACAAAGCGGATGGTTTTCCAACTCATGAACAGGCAACGTATAACTGCCCATATGATAGATAATGATTTTCTAAATAATCTGTTTGAAATTTATCCCGCAAACATTAAGCGATTGGCCTTGCGACTTGTTAGTTGTCATTGCGAACGCAAGGCAAACTGGAAATTGCAATCTCGCATTAAGGCACGATGCCATGCACACTTATTTTCTTAGCTATAAACCTTGCGGAGCTCGAGACTTTTCCAACGAATGCAAAATTGTCGAAATCGGTTCTTGCGTTCTGGAGTTATATCGTCCAACTTATTTTTATATATATATGTAGATATATGAAGATAATCTATTTGAAATTATTTAAAACAATTGTTGATTATTTTTATTACTCAAATTTTTAATTACGGTGCATGAAGTTCCAGCAATTTGCATTAGGACACTATGCCATGCACCACTAATTTTCTTAGCTATAAACCTTGCTGAGCTTTGTGAGACCTTTCCAACAAATGCAAAATTGTCGAAATCGGTTCGTGCGTTCGGGAGTTATTTCGTCAGGGAGGAAAACCCGACTTATTTTTATATATATAGAAGAAGAAGATAAACTATTTGAAATTATTTAAAACAGTTATTGATTATTTTTATTACTCGAATTTTTAATCACGGTGCGTGAAGTTCAAGAAATTTGCATTAGGGCACGATGCCATGCACCACTAATTTTCTTAGCTATAAACCTTGCGGAGCCCGAGACCTTTCCAACGAATTATTAGGAGTTATTTCGTCAGGAAGGAAAACCCGGCTTATTTTTATATATATAGAAGATATATATATATATATATATATATATATATATATATACTAGATGACCCAACAGATGTCCTGTATGCCTACAAAAGTTCAAATTTTTTTTAATCTCCTATCTTATACTTTTTAATATCCCATTTAATGTCCTGCCTTTGTGAATCATTTATAGTCTTAGCATAAGCAGTATAAGAACTTCAGAAAAAAATAATATAGTATCTGCGGTAAAAGTACAACATCACACTTGATTTTACCACACAACATAATTGCTTCAATAATTTTGTCTATAATTTTCATAATCTCATACGATATATTAGTTGCTTTTTGGCAATTATAATTTCTAAAGTACATTTTTCTTACTACTAATTTAATAAACATTATTGTTTATGATCAAAAATTTGTAAAATCTAGTTCATATGTGCACTGTCCAATCTAAGATCATGAAATTGTTAAATATTCCATATCCAATGCCACACAAATAAATTTTCGACACATAAAACAAAATTCTAGTTCATTTTTTAATAAGTAGACATATTTTTTGTACTGTTAAATAATTTAGTAAATAAAACCAAAACATAACATGCATTAATTTAAAGAAATAATGTATATGCAATTTAGACTTATTGCATTATTTATTAAACTGAATTATATAATTCATCTGCCAAACATATACTCGGGGTCTGATGCTTCTTGGAAAACAAATCAGTACACAATACCCATGTTGATTATATGCACAGAGATGCATTCTTATCTTCTAGATTCTAGACAAGTTTAAAGAAATATTGATTGTATTCAATTTCGTGAGATCTGAGATACTATTGCGTGTATCGTATAATATTTTAATTTCTGTCAGCTGCTTTTCGGCAATAATAATGTAGACATTACATTTTTCTTATTCATTATCATAAATATATTATATTTTAATATTGTCTAGCTTATAAGTGAATTGAAATGTTTGGCAAATTATATTGTGCAAAGTCTTCAGCGTACAAGGTTTATGTAAATATAGCCCCAATAAACTTAAGTAAACAATTTTGATTATCCTCACCTTAGCAATAATTCCAATGCGGTAAGGAAGAAAATTCCATTAAATGTCTATATTTGAGAAAATATAGTTGTTTTGATTGCAATCAGTTACTGAATGAATGTTATATTCACTTCACGCCGTTTTATTGTCAGTATCTTATTTTATTTCAACTTAGTTAAAATAATCTCAATTTAAAAGCAACTACCTAACTATGAATCTTCCGCCTGTAAATAATATTAACATAAAATATTTTTCACTCATTTAAAAATTAAATAACTCTCGCCATAGATAAATAAACTCACGCATTGACACTTTTGTTGGTTGTGAACATAGATAAATAAACGCAAAGACTGTTGTGAAGTTGTAAACACTCAGCCATTGAAATGTTGGTATGCTGTTTTTAAGTTGTCACACGTGTTGCCAATGTCAGACTGAAAAAGAAATGTCAAACATAAATGTCAAAGTGTTTTATAAAATTATATTGAATACAAACAAAACTATTATAAATATTTATTATTACATATGAATTATTGTTATTATTATGTTATTATTAGTTAAAAGCATATAAATTGTAAGTCTCATCAACTTTTAAGAAGTCTTTGTTAATGTCTGAAGAAACACTTTCAATGGCAACAATTAAAATTGAACCACTCGAATATCCTCAAGTTAAACAAGAATTTGATGATTATGAAATAACAGAAATATGTCCCGAAAATGAAGAAACACCTCATCATCTATTTTTAAAATCTGAACAAGAAATAAAGCTTGAAACCATTGATGAGCAAAATGCTGCTACTAGTGAAGACTATGCAAACTTAGATCAAACAACCTATAATTCGAAACAACTCCTAAAATGTAAAACATGCAACAAAACATTCAAAACAAATTACAAATTAAAACAACATGAAATTATCCATACCGGAGAACGTCCTCAAAGATGTGAGACCTGCGATAAAACATTTAAAACAAAACAGGCTTTAAACCTACACAAATCGACACACATTCAAGAGCGCCCTTATAAATGTCAAACATGTGATAAAACATTCAAAACCAAAGGATTATTAAACCAACATGAAATTATTCACAACGCAGAACGTTGTCATAAATGTGATATATGCAACAAAGTATTTACAAAACAATGTTTATTAATCCAACATAAAATAATACATACCGGAGAACGCCCTTACGAATGTGATTTGTGCAATAAAACATTCATCAGGCAAGATGCCTTAAAAGTGCATCAAATGATCCACACCGGAGAACGTCCTCATAAGTGTACCACATGCGATAAAACATTCGCAAGAAAAGAAGCTTTACATCAACATCAACTCTTACACACCGGAGAACGCCCTTTTAAATGTGCCATGTGCAATAAAGCATTCAGGATAAAAAAAGAATTAAAACAACATGAGCTTATCCATACTGGAGAACGACCTCACAAATGTGCGATATGCAATAAAGCATTCAAAACAAAACAAGAGTTAAAACTACATGAAAAGATCCATACTGAAGAACGCCCCTATGAGTGCAATATATGCAATAAAACATTCAAAGTGAAACAATCTTTAAACCAACATACAAAGATTCATTCTGGAGAACGACCTTACCAATGTGATATTTGCAAAAAAGCATTTTTGAGAAAGGATGCTTTGTTTCAACATCAGAAAATTCATACAGCGAAACAAGGTTAACTTGGAACCATGTGAAGAAATCAAAAAATAGTTTTAATAAATTGAATATGATAAATAAATTTGTAATTAGATGACTTTGTGATACTTTTAGAAATAAATATTGTAATAAGTACCATAAGATAAATGTTTTATTTAAAAAAAAAAATATATTCCTTTGCATGGTCTATAATTATAAAATTAATTTTGTTTATACTTTGAAATGTCTGTGTATCTTCCAGGTGACGTAAACGCTACGTTTGCCGTTACATGTGTTACGTTATATTAACGTTTTAATTACGTTTTGTGGTTTACTGGGTAGTAATGATTTTTTACACAAATTGCATATATGAATTACGTTTTTAGGTATATGTCTATCTTGTGCTAATTATATATCTATTGATACAAACAATAAAACTAGTGGTGTGTAGCATCTTAAGGCAAATTGCTGCAACATCCAGTAATGAAATATTTAAGGAATATTAAATGTTTACAAGTAGATTATTATAAATACTGTAACGTTCATTATTTGTATTTTATTGACAAAATATGAGAGCTTATAAATTGGATGTTGATGTTTATATATGCTTACATAAAAAGTAAATAAACAAAAGTTGATCAAGCGGAGTTAGAATGAATAAACTTATTTCATATTTCTAAGAATTATATAAAACTGAATTGCAAAGTTAAAAAGGGATATATGTGAGCTTTAAAACTAAAGAATTAAAATTAATATCCAAATTATTTTCGATATCAAAAAAATATTTTTTTCAGAATTAAAAACAATAAAATTTCTCCAAAAGCAATCGTTTTCTGAATCATTCAAATCTGATGTTTAGTTACCTCAAAAACTACCTTTTTTGCACATTTAGCTCCGTATCTCCGGAACGTTTTTTCCAAGAACTAATCACTACTTCTCCTCATAATTACAACTTGAATGCTTTTTGAATCATTCAAATCGGATACCCTGTACTTACAAAAAATTAACTTCCATTTACCGCATTCTTCGCTTCATATCTCCGGAACGGCCCGGACCGCTTTTGCCAAAAACTAATCAGCACGTTTCCCTATCAATAGGAATCAATTACTTTTCGAATCATTCAAATCGGTTGATCCGCACGCCCGAAATCGTCGACGAAAAATTTGTATCCACACATATGCACACATCCATTTTTTCTAAGCTATGCCAAAATGTTCAGAAACCTTGAAAAAGAAACACCTCTATTATCCATATATAAATAATCATTGTTAAGTAATGAACCTTATTTAGTAACGGTTGCACACCCCTGGCATAGTAGCAGGTTGTGGATACCTGCGATGCACCGTTACCTGCCGGGTATTAAACCTCAGCAATGCAAACAATTGAGGTTCTTTCGGAACAGTCGGGGTTAGTTGGATCATCGAGTACCTGGAGGCACGTGGAGGTAATATACCATTCTTTTATTTGTAACAAACTTCATGTGGACGCCATGTTTGTTTTTAATCCACATGGTTTGTAAAGAAAGAAATGTTCGTTCTTACTTTTGTATGGACTTCAAGGAGGCAACATTTAATTGAAATAAAGAGAGCCTGGCGTAAGACAAATAGTTATTGTTGTTATTATATATGTATTGCATTATATTAATTAATATTATGTGATATTATGGTATCAATGAAAAAGTAGAACATCTAACATGTTGTATCACTTAAACTGAATCAAAGATTAATACAGTTCTGTTTGAAAGTCATAAGAACTTAATGTATTCACATTTCTTGGGAAAACTCTGCTGCAAAGAAAAATTTACATCACTTTATTTGTAGGTACTCCTAGGTTGTGAAGAATAATACGCCCCATATGAAAAAAAGATTTTGTTGATAAAATACATTACTGGATCATATTGAATTGGACCACAGAATTGAAATAAAATATGAAGAACCAAATTTTTCTCCACTTAATGGTTTGTTAATTTTTAATTACTGATATCACCAAAGCAGTTCTGTATAATTTTCATACTTTTTTGTAGTTTTTTACAAATGGAAAAATGAACTGAGCAACAGGATTTCTCTTACTATGTGAAAGACAATACAGGAAGCAAAACAAATGAAAGAACTAGAATTATGCATTATAATTGCAATAGATCGTATCTATCATAAGAAGAATCCTGCAGAAGATCGTATACCTTTAGGCAGGTTTCCGAAAGAAAGTAAAAAGATTGGATTTGCATATCCCACCCAAATGATATTCACATTATATAATGGTCAATGGTTGATAATTATTGAAAGAATCATTTGGGACATGAGAAACTGGCCCAATTTGTTCCAATGGACAAGGATTTACTGAGGGACATCAAAGGTATATTTATTGATCACAACATCTTGATATAATTTGTTTCTTTTGTACAATTTTGCTTCTTTTGCTTCCATCATTTTGTAATGTTAGTAAGTTAGGTAAGTTAGTAAATAATTAAGTAATGTTATCATTGTCATTTATAAAATCAATAAATCAACTGGTATAATATTTGCAGAAAAAAATATTGCTGAAGAGATGATGACAATGTGTTTCATATCTTAAGACAAAGAGTTTCCACAATAACGAATAAAGAGTTGTGGAACATGTAGAGGAAGGTTTTGCCCTAAATGTAAAGATGATAGTCAGTGCGGTTAGAGCAGTCAGTCAGTCAATGTGGTTAGAAAAGATGAGGACAAATAATCGATTCAAGGTTCTTTCATGAAGAAGTTGGACCTGGCACAGCTGATTATGAGCTTCAAGATGAAGATTACTACTTTAGACTAAATCGCAGTCTAAAATGTTGAAGAACTTCGGTAGCGATAGAGTTTGGTTTGATACTACACATGAAACCAATGGCAAAGGCTATCTATTACATACACTACTTGTGGTTAATGAATGTGGAAGAGGGATCCAGGAGAATGAAAGACTTATGAAAATCTGGCTAAATTTGCTCCAAAAGACAAAGATTGAGGGACATTAAGGTATATTTATTGATCACAACATCTTGACATCGTTATTAAAGCATGTACAATTTTGCTTCCCTCATTTTATAAATAATTTTATCAACGTCATTTACAAAATCAAATCTCAACTAGATTAATATTTGCAGAAAAAATTATAGCTGGAGTTAATGACGATGATGTGGTTAGCAGCACAATATGTGAAGCTTCATATCATGAAACATTACCACAGAGAGCCTTCTTGAAAATGAAGAAAAACTTGTGGAACATGAAGAAAAAGGTTTTGCCCTCATATTTGCCTAAATGTAATGATAATACAATTAATGTGACAATGTGGTTAGAAGGAATGAGAACAAATAATCGATTCAAAAAGGTGAACCTGACCAGCTAATTATGGGCTTCAAGATGAAGATTACATTTTTGGCAATAAAGACTATAACACAGTCTGAAAAGTCAAAGGATTTTGGTACCGATAGAGTTGGCATTGGTGCTAATAAGGAACCAATGGCTATCAAGGATCTACTGCATACACTACTTGTGATTGATGAATGTGTAAGCGAAATCCCAGTTTTTCGAATCGGATATAGAATGGAAGACTCATGAAAATCTGGTAAATTTGCTCCAAAAGACAAAGATTGAGGGACATTAAGGTATTTTATTGATCACAACATCTTGACATCGTTTATTAAAGCATGTAAAATTTTGCTACCGTTATTATAAATATAATGTTATCATTGTCATTTACAAAATCAATGAATCAACTGGTACAATATTTGCAGAAAAAATTATAGGTGGAGTTAGTGACAATATGGTTGTCAGCACAATATGTGAAGCTTCATACCAAGAAACATTGTGACAGAGAGCTTTCTTAATAACGAAGAGAAAATTGTGGATAATGAAGAAAAAGGTTTTGCCCTCATATTTGTCTAAATGTAATGATAATACAAATGACAATGTAGTTAGAGGGAAGGACAAGAAATAATCGATTCAAAAAGGTGGACTTGACTAGCTAATTATGGGCTTCAAAATGAAGATAACATTTTAGTAAAAATGATTAAAACGCAGTCCAAAATGTTAAAGGACTTTGGTACCAATAGAATTGGCATTGATGCTAATAAGGAACCAATGGCTGCTGGACCTGACCAGCCAATTATGGGTTTCAAAATGAAGTAAACATTTTAGTAAAAATGACTAAAACGCAGTCCAAAATGTTAAAGGACTTTGGTACCAATAGAATTGGCATTGATGGAAGGAACCATGGCTGCTGGACCTGACCAGCCTATTATATGGGCTTCAAGATTAAGACTACATTTCAGTAATAATGACTAAAACGCAGTCTGAAATGTTAAAGAACTTTGGTACCAATAGAATTGGCATTGATGGAAGGAACCAATGGCTGCTGGACCTGACCAGCCTATTATATGGGACTTCAAGATTAAGATTACATTTCAGTAATAATGACTAAAACGCAGTCTGAA